GGGGGGAGTGTGGGGGAGGAGGTGGTAAGGGCGGGACCGAGAGTCTCCATCCATCGTGTCGTGAACGTCGTCGTCTCGGACCGTTCAATGCGGCAGTACGACTGTCTACCCCCGCCCCCTCTCTCTCCGTCTCTCTCTCTCTCTCTCTCTCTCTGTATCCTTTCTTTGCCTCTCTTTACGACCGCCCGCCTCAGTGACTAAGTCCGCGATGACGTTGAGGAGCGCATCGCAATGCCGGCGAGCGAAGGGCTCAGCCAAACCAGCGGGATGTGGCTTACCCACCCGTGCGGATTTACCCCCACCCCTTGTAAAGTTACCCGCACCCCGCACGGACCTACACCCACCCCCAGTGTTACCCGCGCGGACTAACTTCCCATAGTCGCTGTTCAACCCAAGACCCAGGCCATCATAACTTGCATATTAAATTGAGTAAACCTTTGCTAATATGCAGCTTGTGCAAAAAATGTCCACCTAGTCTTCTTGTGCATTTTTAAATAAACAATAGTAAACAAATTGTTCACATTTGCATAAAATATGTCCATGGGAAGAGGAGGAGGTGCAGAAACGTTGGTAAGCTGCGCATGAAAAAAGATCAGAACAATTTAGTGTGCATGGTGTGCATGAGCATACTTCGCACTTTGTCAAAAAAAATTCTGTTTTACAGAATGATCCTGTTTCTATACAACTTCTTTTGCCGTTCAACAAGTAAAAACGATTTTCGTTTCTTCCACGTAATGGAAATTAATAAACATTTTCTCACTTTCCCTCCGCCCAAGTTAATTTTGACGACGCGTTTCCTTCAGCCTCCTCTCCGAAAAGCGGCAGCGGCACTACAAGCTGAAGGGGCGCAGCGTGGCGTGGCGGGGCGTGGCGTGGCGGGGGTGCTGTGTACACGTAGTGCCACATATTGGCGTCGCCTTATTGTTGTTTTCTCTGCCGCACGTGCATTTCATGCATTCTATGCATTTCTTGTCGTTATTACGATGAAGCTATAAAGCAGCCCCGAGGTCTGCCTGCATGCTGCTGCATGCTGTTGCCGCTGCATGCTGCTGCTGCTGCTGCTGCTGCTGCTGCTGCTGCTGCAAAAGCCGAGCCGAAGGCGCGGTACGGTCCGGTGTTATGTTTTACGACGACCAGGTTTATGTACAGCGACCAGCAAAGCCTTAGACCTCCTCCCCCTCCCCTCTCCCCCGTGCTCTCAAGGAGGTGTGTGAAGGTGGTGGCGGAGGTGGACTGAGCTCCGAGAGAGAGAAAAGTAGACATAGGGAGAAGGGCGGAGGGAGGGGGGAGAGAAAGGGGGG